ATTTAGAATTGAAATTCAATTTTATCTTATCTCACATCGAATGTCAATAGAAAACTAGAAGAGGGTATCTCCTTTAAAAAGGAACATCATGATGGTAGAAGTCACTATTGGGCTTGTTAGGAAAAATAGTTGGGCCTCAAGTTAGTTCAAATTTTTTTCATTAATTTCTATTAATTTCGGATCGGATATCCGATAACATTGCAAATCAGATATAGATTGAGCAATTAAATATACGTTGGATTATCGGATCGGATCGGATATAAGCAAATCAGATCCATATCCGATCCATTTATAGTCCTAGGAAAATGGCATCCTAGACAACTTTACTTTGAAACCAATGAAATCACTCAAAAAAGTGCACAACAAAGATGAACAATATAATTCGAACAAAAAATGAGACACGGTTTCACTGCAATTTTCTCCACAAACGCAAAATTGGCCCATTGAAAGTCCATCATGGTGATCGCAACATCGAAAAATCAAATGATCATCACATCTCAAGCTAAAAGACAATGAAGAACGATAAATCATCACAGCCAAAATGATGATAGCAAGTTAGTTTAGTGTAATACAATGAAGTAGGGATCCAGTATCACCTAAAATGGTGATAAATAGCATTGCTATATGACTTGAGGGTAATAACTCTAGCTTAATCATAATTCAAGAAGAAACCATCACTCGGAAGTTAGAATGGGAATCTCTAGTTTATTGAAATATTAGAAATAAAAATGTCAGGAAAAATAGGTTGTGGACAAAAATGTAAAAATGGTTAAATACCAAGGGCAACAATCACTATTTATTAAAGCTTGACACTAAGTTGAAGATTTGTTTGTTCAATAACGAAATGGTATTCAACAGTATTGATAATTGATGCTACCAAAAACTTGCACTTGAAAGAACTCGAACTGGATGATTGGACTCCGCACGATCTGATCTTCAATACCTGAAACAAATGCGTCTAGATGTGTCATCGTCGTTCATTCGATACTTAATTCAGAAAGAGGAATTGTGCAAAAGACTGTATGCTTGAATATTAATGAAAAACGTACCTGAATAGTGAAGCTGAGTTATGTATTTATAGATGTTGGAGATGGAGTCCCAAAAGGATTCAACTTCCTATAGTCCTTATCCTTATTATACAAAGTGTTTATGTTATGTTAGAAGTGCACAATTTGAGTTAGAGTCAAATTTGTAATAGTTGGAGAGTTTGTATTCAAATAGGAAAAGTGGTGGAGGGGAGGGATGGTTATGGTCAAAATAAGATTGCTATTTGTAGAAGGTGTGAGATAAAGTCAAGGAGATTGATCAGAGGGCATGAATAGCCTGACCTCTTAGATGAAGCCCAACCTCAAAGACCAACCCCGAACTTGGAGTTGGGATATTTGAGGGGGCCAAGTTCGGGCGTCATAAGCTTTAGATCGGGGCTTCCACACATTTATACTCATCAGTAATGATGTAGCAAGTGCTTTTTGTGAGGGGACTAGTAAGAGCAGGAGCGAAGCTAGAATTAACTTAAAAAATTAAGTAGGCACCCCCACTCCCCTCCCCAAAACACCTGACTAAGAGAGTGTACCGTCAAGCTGAAATCTTAAAATTAAGTTATATGTAATCCAGTTAAAATGAGTATATAGAACTTCCAGTAGCTAGCAATGCTAATCTAGAATAGAAAAATCTTAAAGTGTATTGGATTTGGATTATGTATAGTGAATAATTATATGCGCTTAAAGTGTTACGTCGCTGACAAATTATGATGATAAATATCCAACTGAAGGAACAATGTTCTATACTAGCAAAGCGGTGGTGATAAATACCCTTGGGTCCAAATAATGGAAAAGCATTGCTGAATTTTTGGTTGATCAATTGGATAATTTCAACATATATGGG